CCTGCCTATGTAACAGACCTAATCACGCCGACGCGCCAGGACTCGACTCAACGCAACCTCCGCACCTCATCACTTCTCACGCTCCTGAAAAACCGCCTATCCTGTTTCCAGCGATCCTTCATCCCTGAAACTACCAGATCCTGGAATTCCCTCCCGGAACATATCCGTCAGATCCGATCACACTCCAAGTTTTCCACTAAAGTAAGACAGCATTTGTGTCCCCAGCCCAACCCCTTCTTCTCCTCAGGATCCAAGCTAGGCAACACTCCACGCTAGACTTCGTTTGCATATGTCCACTCTAAAAGCACACCTCTTCACAGTTTATCTAAGGACACCCAAGATGCTGCCTGTCAGTGCTGTCATCTTTGGGAGGACTCACGTCACTTTATGCTGCACTGCCCTCTTTACGCTGACGAACGGACGCTTCTTTTTAACTCTGTCTCCACTGTATTCCACGACTTTGACGCTTTTTCTTTTAGAAGACAACTCGAAATTCTCCTAGAGGGTCAAGGTATTGGCGGCGGCGACAGTGGGGGAGTGGTCAGGGCCATTCAAAATTATATCATTGGCACTGGTAGGTTCATATAAAAGGCACGCTTTAGGAAGTAATTTCTCTAAGTATAAAATAGGCGGACTGGCGACGGGCGGCTCTGCTTTTGGTCTGCTGGCTGTGCGGTCGGGGGCGGTGGTCGTGCCCCCTACCTTGTAGGGAACTGGGAGAGGTGCCTAGAGATAAGCGCTTGTCGCTTCTGCACCAATCCGTGTAAATGTATGACTGTAAAAATGTTTTTTATAAATAAAATATGAATCAATCAATCAATCAATCAATCAATAATGGTTAGATCACGAAAATGACCTGACCTCATATGACCTTAAGGAAAAATCCGAAATATACAAGTTGTGAGATTCGTAATCGATACTAGATCCTGCAAGGTTCATTTCCCTGTGAAAGCTCCTCTGGCAGTGAGGGCGTTGCGAAGTTGCGACATCTGAAGACCATGCAGAGGTTCACTTATGACGTGATAGGTCAGTGACCTGACCTGACCCGAAAATGCGGTTGGTGTCAAAAGATCCGACTTGAATCAAAGGTCAGGTATGCCAAGTTTCAGCTCTCTATCTCCAGCGTGTTCGGAGCTATCGCGAAAAAAACCCTATGGGGGGCGGCACCCGCCCCCCCCCTCGGCTGAGGAGGGTTATCCTTCCAGGCGGTGGGGGAGGCATTTTTTTGCCCCCCTTTAGTTTTTTTCATTTTTTTACGCCGCCACCCATTAATAGGTGACCAGGAGTGCCCCCACCCTCGAACCCAGCGACACACAGTACCCTTACGTTAACACCAGAGAAAAAAAAAACAATGTCGCGGCACTCCCAGCTAAGAAATGGAAAAGAAATAAAAAGAAGACAAGAAGGGAGCGAGGATTTAGGTATGGTATAATCATAAGACAGAAAGTAGTCAATGAGCTCATAAGTCATTGACTGACCCCCCACTACAATCCCCAATAAAAAAGGTTAAAGTGATCATGGGAGACCCAGCCATGCAGATAATTTAACATTTATACAATTTTCTGAGTAATATGCAAAATAATATATGCATACATTATCTGGTCATTTTAGCAGTTTGCTATTGCTGGAGCCAAGTGAGATCCCGCAGCTAAGCAAAGCTTGTTGCCGCTCGGTCTCACCGGTTCCAGCGATGGTTATTGGGTGATATTTGATACCACAATAATACACGGCAGGACGTCAACACAAAACACTTACATGTAACACAACGATGTAAACAAACAGCATACATCAACGTACATTCGTAATGCAATAAGAGATGTAAGTAACATACATCAGCATACAACCATTATTACCATTATCAATGGTATTATCAGCAAGTGTGTACCTATGTATCACTGGTCATCGTACCTGGGGTACCTACAGTGAAAGAAGTGATAAAAAAGAGAAAAAGGTACTGTAACTGTACAGTGTACCTACTGTACCGTACTGTACTGTAAAAGAAAAAAAAAGAGAGGAAAAATTAAGGCAGTTGAGTCTTTAGAATACAGAATACAGAAAATATATGTAAACAGACAAAAGGCATATATAAATTATGATATATGCACACATACACACATACATACATACATATCACACATATACACATTATATATATATATATATATATATATATATATATATATATATATATATATATATATATATATATATATATATATATATATATATATATATATATATATATATATATATATATATATATATATATATATATATATATATATATATATATATATATATATATATATATATATATATATATATATATGTTACGGGCAAAGTGCGAAGTTGGGCAATTCGCGAATTGCCTAGGCCATTCGCGAACTGCCGGCAATTCGCGAATGGCCTAGGCAAAGTCCGGTTTTTCACTTGGCCTAGGCAATTCGCGAATGGACTGACTTTGTGCTCACAGGCAAAGTGCGTAATTGGGCATTTCGCGAATTGCCCAGGCAAAGTGAGTAACTATATCACAAAAGTTTTCTACCGTGCTAAAATGAGTATATTCATTAACATTAGGACATTTGCTTATGGCTAAGTCTATCTGAGGCGGCCAGAAACTTGCTGTTCTGTAATTTTAGGGAATTTTCAAATAAATCTGATAGTACTAAGGTTCTCCTTCCGAACTCGTTGCCATTTATAGTGGGAGGGGGCTGGTGTGTAGTACTTACCATCGTCCCTCTTGTATCCTAATTTAAATAGGTGTGCAGACGTGCGAAAATGATTGTCCTTTGTGGGGCGCGCGGGGTGGCAAATAAATGCGATCGAAGATACATTTTTATGACTCATTTGAATTTTATTGGATCAAAAGTTTAATCATATGAGGTATCTGTATAACGCGAAAGTGTTTAGGTTAAGAGAGGTTGTGTACGCAGTTATCAAGTTCCGTAGCACGTGGTCTTTAAACTATTCGATAATTTCCGTCAAAAACAAAACCATGCCAAATCACAAACAACAGTCTGACTTTCTTACTATTTATTATTGCAGTGAGCGCCTTTATGGCAGCGACTGATACAAGTAACGCCCGCCTTGATGCACTTGCATCGGCCTTTACATACACCCCTCCTGCACTTGCAGGAAAACATCCCCTGACCCTTCCCCCCTGAGACCAGGCGAGCCAAGGCCATCTATAGAAGGTACAGTCACTCCCCCGCCGACCAATCAGAGACAGATCATGAGTGACGTCACCCCTGATGCTCGAAAGGGGTACTCCATTCCTTTACAACGTAAAAATGACTAACTTCATTTGAAGATTGTTGGTCTAACACTCTACACACATCGCTCAACCATTGATGTCATTGGAAAGTCCAATTAATTTTCTAGCGATAAAAAAGAGCAGCAATATGCTAAGAAATGGCCGGTTTTGAAGATATAGACGATTTAAAAACCCTCTGCAGTTGCAGAAAAGCAACGTAAAAACGCATCGAGCTTATATTTTTACTATGAATAAATCATTTTTCAGTAAGTTTTTAAGTATGGTATCGATTTATTCAACAACTTAATTACAATATTTTTATTACTTGGAACTTTATTTCAAAATAATATTTTCAAAAATGGCAACTGTTGGCAAGTAGCTTTGAAGCGATTGTGGCGCGCCGCGCCATTATTATCCTGAGGCCCCCATATGATGTCATCAAAAGTGGAGTGACATGGGCCTGAGGCGAGCACATTCTCTAAGTGTGATCGAGATGTCGGGGACGTCGGAGGAGGAGATGAAGTGCCCGGCACACGGTTGTACTGCTTCTGGGCCGTAGACGCCGGACAGCTTCCCCTTCGTCGTGCCAATTATATACTGTGACTCGCCGACACACTGCGAACACGGTCATCTATGTCAACGAGCGATACAAAGTTTTTACAGCATCAGCAATTAATTTACTGCAGATAATATTGATATGATTTATAATTATTGCGACCAGTGCCAGACACCTACAGTTTCGATCTGTGTTAAAAACGTTTTGTTGTTGACATCAAATCTAATTGAACCGACAATGTCCTTTCAGCGCCTTATACACTTGAAATCATGATGAAAAATAACTAAGCAACTATTTTTACAGATATTAAATCGTTTCAACATTGAGAACAATATTCATATTGATTGAAAATCATATTATATACTTAATTCACAGTAAAAAGTTATCGAAATAAAAAATTGAAAATATAGCAATAGAAAGCGTGGCGAGAAAGAGCAACCAATAGTACAAGCAGCTGCAAAAAGAAAATTACTCCAGACTCACCTCCAATATCACTCCGATAACATTTTTCTGTTGCGTCCTCGCCCTGTCCACGTCGGGAATGCCAATGCGTACATTTTGACCCACAGATAGAATCTTCTTCGCCTTCCTCGTCCGAGCCAGCATGAGATTCGCCTGTTTTTTCTGAGATGCCGAGGCGATCTCCCGCTCTTCAAGTGCCCTCTTAGCACGAGAACACAGATCGCAAAAGCCGTCAGATGCAGGTGCCGGCCCATAACAGTGAGTGCAGCGCCTGCTTCTTAGTGTTCGCTTAACAGGCTGTGCAGCTACCGGTGACTGCTGCATGCCCTTGTTGCTGCCGGCTACCGCCACTGTGGGACCGCTCCTCCCTGGAGTGCAGCTAGCTGGCTCCTCGTCGCTGCTGCTGCTGCCGGCTACCGCCACTGTGGGACCGCTCCTCCCTGGAGTGCAGCTAGCTGGCTCCTCGTCGCTGCTGCTGCTGCCGGCTACCGCCACTGTGGGACCGCTCCTCCCTGGAGTGCAGCTAGCTGGCTCCTCGTCGCTGCTGCTGCTGCCGGCTACCGCCACTGTGGGACCGCTCCTCCCTGGAGTGCAGCTAGCTGGCTCCTCGTCGCTGCTGCTGCTGCCGGCTACCGCCACTGTGGGACCGCTCCTCCCTGGAGTGCAGCTAGCTGGCTCCTCGTCGCTGCTGCTGCTGCCGGCTACCGCCACTGTGGGACCGCTCCTCCCTGGAGTGCAGCTAGCTGGCTCCTCGTCGCTGCTGCTGCTGCCGGCTACCGCCACTGTGGGACCGCTCCTCCCTGGAGTGCAGCTAGCTGGCTCCTCGTCGCTGCTGCTGCTGCTGCTGCTGCTGCTGCATACTACAGCACGACCGCTCCTTCTCCTCCCTGCATGGGCGCGGCCAGCCGGCTGCCAGTCGCTGCTGCTGCTGCTGCCCGATTGACTGTCCAGTCCTGCATCTGTGGCCGTCTGGCGACTTCCATCAGCCACCAGTCCCAGCATATCCGCCAGCTCCTGCTCAGTCCTCAACAGTCTGGCGGGCGCTCCTCTGAGCTGCGTGTCCCTCAGGCCCATGTGGGGCTCAACACCGAACATCGCTTTGTAGGGAGCAGTTCCAATCCCGTCGTTCTTCTGAAACAGTCAGAACATATTCAAGATATTAACAACAGAATGTTCACACAAAAATACGAGACTGTGCAGTTAAGCGTAACCAGCTAATACTTTACACTTCTCCCGCTTTGACTTAAATTACAGCTAATGATTGGAAATATTTTTTTTCTTCAAAACATATGTTTTAAACGAATGAGGAAAATTTCAAATGATATTTTTTGTAACTAATACAGATGAAGGCTATATACCTGCGTGTTTATCATCCACTGAACAAAGCGTAGTCCCTCGGGCCAATTACTTTCCGGGTTATCGGCAAGCCAGCACCGAAGCTTTTCCTGAACCAGCCGATTCGCCCTTTCGACAGATCCCTGGAAACATTAAATGTGTCAATTTACCACATGCCGAGATATCCCTTTAACATTAGCACGTGATTTTGGGAAAAGCTTCCGGACCGCTCACGGCTAATGTTTAAGGTATTTGGGAAAAGGTTCTTGACCACGGTCATTTTGATTTTCCCAGACAATTTTTAAGAGAATATTCAAGATGAAAGTAGCAATTAACGGCATGTAGTAACTATCTTCCCACCCTTTGGGCTGGGAAAATGCTTAATTTATTCACCTCGAATTTTTTGCTACAGACCTCGTGCCTGCCGGCACTCGGTACTTCCGCAAAAAAACCTTGGTAAATAAAATGCATTTTCCCAGCCCCGGGCGGAAATAAATATTACTATATCCGTACATGAGAAAGTCAAGCATGCACATGGCGGCGAATATTACATGGTACAGTTTGCATTGACCTCTTTTAACTCTCGATTTATTTATTCATGTTCTTTCCACTTCTATTTATTTGCGCAGGCATTGATATTGAATAGTCACTTTTTGAGCAATCAAATAAGGGCGCTTGATAGCCTATTTGCGCTTTAGCGTCCGTCCATAAACCCCAGCACAAACATGCACACGATCAATTCAATATGAATATCTATTTTAAAGACTTCAAAAATCCATGTAGGAACAACAAGCTAATTCTATACCAAATCTAAATTCGTATATTGGTGAATAGCCAATCTGGCTTATACCTATCAATCGCTCACCTGGGACTGCGAATGGCGAGGTCGTCCACGAACGAGCTGGAGCGATGGCCACATGGCTGTGCACTGCTTTATTACTTTGTTGCGAAACTCGCGTCCGTTGTCGCTCTGAAACACATTTAGGTTTTCTGTTTTAACGAATTTTTAACGCAATCTTAGCCTTTATCTGAACTACTTTCATGTTTTTATTGCGATGTTTCACACAGTGGTTGTGCAGTTACCTTCATGAATCACGAGCGAATCATTGTAAAAGTGACTTAGAACAGTTCAAATTACCCTAATCTTGACCTTAGGTGAAAAGGTCATCAAAGGTAATCCTAGGTCAGTGACCTCAGATGACCTCGGATGACCACGGATGACCTTGACACATGGCGGGTCAACTATAGTGTATTCATAGGCGCTGAGCTCGAATCTGACATCCATTCACCTCTAAGCAATCATCCTGACGCTCAAACTCGCAAAAAAAAACAGCTAATTGAAGCGACTAAATTGACCTAGAAGATGCTCCTAACAAGCGTGACCTTGCGTGACCTTGACCTTGAGTCAACTGTATGCGATGTCTAGACATCCATAAACACCAATAAACTCTCATAGAATGCATACTCATGCGCTGGGAAGCAAGAACGCGCACCATCGTGCGACAGATCGCAAAACCTGCCGATTTCGTCCAAACATGACCTGACATATGACGTCATGACTTGATGACCTGACATGACATCGACTTGAAATTTCCACAGTACGTGTCAGATTGATCAACGCGAGGGTACTGTAAGTTTCGCGGCGATCCGCCGCGTTTTACGCGAGTTATTCGCGAAAAACCATGGGGGGGGGGTCATCCGACCCCCCTACAAGTGCGAGGGTTAATCTGAAACTATGTATGTCTCTGGTTTTCTTCTAATCAAGTCAGTTATATCAACTCCAGCATCTGCTATAATGCGCAAAAGAACGACCAGTGCATGTTCGCTCATATCCAAGTAATTTTCTAAAGACTGAAGCGGCCAACCCCACCCTAATATCTTGGAGAGCCGTACATATTTTACGAATAAGCGCATGCTGGCTGCTGCTGCTGATGAGATGGAATATATTAAAACAACCGGTAATACATGATAGTATAGTACAGATGCAGACCATAGACAAAATGTAGGGTCTTAATGATGAAATTCCCTTAACATTCAATGAGGGTGAGATAAACTGTTTTTGCACTTAAAAACAGAGAAAAAATAAAAACAGAGAACGTTCATGATTGCTTTCACCTATATATCGGTAAAAAAATACAATATGACAAAGCTACTTTACCTGCAAGATGTTTGGAGCCCCAAACAGGCAGAATATGTCGATGAGATGAAATACCACCTCTTCCGCCCTTTTTGATTTTAAGGGCCGCAAAACGACAAACTTGGTTAGGTGGTCTTGATATGTTAAAATGTATCTGAATCCCTTTGAGCTTTCACTCGTCCAGTCTATTAGATCAACCTGGGCTCTGGAGTTCATGTCGTTGCTGAGAATAGGCTTAGTCACTACCTTCTGGCCAGGCCTAGGCTTTTTCTGCTCGCACGTTTGGCAAGTTGAGAGGAATGCCCAGACGACTTTTCTGCTGACGCTTGCATAGTGCTTTTGAACTTCCATAAGCGTCTTGTCTCTTCCGCAATGCCCAGTCAAAGAATGGAGTTCATTAATCACATCAAACAAATCTGATTCCCGCACGATTTCTTTTGCACTTTTCTTATCTACAACCTTTTCAATTGATCCGAACTTGACTAGCCTGTACTTCTGCCAGATGCGATAGCGTTTCGCGGTGCCCGACGGTTTTGCGCCTTTGCTGATTCCCTGCAGTTCTTCCTTTATAATCTCGTACTTTTCATCGGTAATCAAAGCAGAGTTTGAAGATATTTTGGTTTCGTGAACCAGTTTATAGAACTGTTCTTTTTGAGACATCTTTGCAGAAACGACGAACGGTCTACCTGCGAAAGATAGAGATGTATGCAAGATTACAATAACAAATTGACTTTATGAATTTAAAAAATATTGATAAATATTATATAATATACAAAGAATGATAATTACGAGCGAGCGCGAAGTGCGAGCGAGTCCTTTGTGGTTTAGTGGAAAAATGTAAGTAGGTATTAGCAGCCCGACCCGGCCAAACGACGCTAATTGACAGCTTATAACTTTGCAACCACATGTCTGATTGACAAGTGGCTTTCATTGATGGGGAGCTACATCCCTTTGCCACGAATGGAGCATACCCCGAACCATGTGGGTACCAAATTTAGCACGTGGCACGTGCAGAGTGAGGGGTGTCGAAAAAAATACAATGCTACAGCCTTGGAACGTCTGCGCCGATAGTGTTGAAATTTGGCATGCTACTAGGTACTCATAGGCCTAACCCTCCACAAGAGTGAGAAGGGAGATTGTGCCGCGCGCGCGCACGTGCGCACTCCACCTTCGATTTTCAATAACTGCAGCGTCTGTCATGGGCGTAGAAACGGCTAGAACATTGTGGGCGCATAGGTGCAGATTGCAGGAGTCTAGCCATAGCTGGTTGAGCGGGGGGGGGGGGGGGTAGGAAGCGGCAATTGGATGTGATATACCGACTTTACCATTTTTAACCCGCACCCTATTTTCCCCTGAATATCAATAAGAAACAAACAAACAAACGAAAACGGTGAGCTTCACGCCGCTTTTTTTTACAAAAAAAGCGGCAAAAATCGGTGACCAGATGACCTAAGGACAGGTCAATTTTGCATCCTCTCTTGTAGGTCAATGGAAGAAAATTAAAAGGTGTCTCTTTTGAACGAACGTCATTCTCAATAATTTCAAACACCAAATTATACCTAAGTTAGCACGACACACAACAGAACCGAAAAATGGCACGTGTGACACCTCTTTTAGCAGCTGAGGTCATCTTTGGTGGGGAATTGTATCTAACTTTTTCGTAAATAACTTTTGGGAGAGGCATGATAGAGTAAAGTTTAAAACACCTTAGTTTTGTTCGGCTAGACGATATACAGATCGGCTGATATGCAACACGATCTTTAACCCGCGCCCCGCTGGGGGTCCTGGATTTCCACGCCCTGCTGGGGGAGTGTTTGAACACCCCCCCCCCCTTCTAACTCGGCTCCTGGGCCACGTAGCGATACCGGAAAGGCGGCGTTCGAAGAGCGTCAAAAATAAGGAAGAAATCACTTCGGTCACTTTTTTGTTCAGGTCAGAGGTCAGGTCACCAGAGGTCATTAACACGTCCCCTGGAGAGGGTCTGAGAATTACGCGCCCTCGAGGGGGGGCATATTCTGCCCCCCTGCTATCTCGGCTCCCAGAAATGCTAGAAACACGAAACTTGGGGGGTGGGTAGGCCCGCATAAGAACTCTTTGTGGTGCAAATTTGGTGATCCTAGGTCAACATCTTCAAGGTCAAATGACGTCATCAATGCAAAATTTTCGCACTTTTTGGTCAAACGTGCAGCGCTTTGCTTTAGCCGGTCTCGCGCCCAAACTAAGACAGATAGCTTTGATCTGCAAAAAAGGTAAGATGCGCAATGAATTGGGCTATCTGAAGTAAGTCGTCAGATTTGACCTCAGGTCAACCGTTTAGGCGCTAGAGGTCAAAGTTCACATCAACGGAAGCGTCTTGTCACGAGTTTTCGTTTGCCGCCTCGCCCTTGTCGCTGCGGCTATTGGTTCTCGAGTTGTCGACTGGGGACGTTTACCCCCCCCCCCCCCCCAGCAAGTGGCGGGTGACGAAATATCCCAGCTGCTGCCGAGTGTGGAAATCCTGGACCTCCAACGGGGCGTTGGTTAAAATAACGGGCTAAAACCATCTGGAGTGGGTCATCATAAGGTATGTGTTATATCACATGTGCTATGGCTTCTTCCACCTGAGCGGATATATGTGTAAGCTTTGAAGACCATCTTGCAGAGGGCAAAATATCCTATGTAGTTTCGTGGTACTCATGGGATTATTGGGAGTTAGTGTTGACGCGAAAAGGGGCTTTTGTTCCAGATTATTGTGGGTGCAGAATACATTGCCTGCACCCACTGCCAAATTATTGTGGGTGCAGCTGCACCCACTGCACCCATGGTTCCTACGCTTTTGGCGTCTGTAACTCGGTAACGGCTTGACCGATCGGGCTCAAATTTGGTATGTGGTTAGAAACCCACCGTCTCAGTGACTTCCAATTGTCACGAAAGAGGTGCCTCACCACTAATGCGCACGTGGGGAATATAAATTTTGCCATATGGTTTGCATGTTAAATTCACCTCGCTCGTTCCTCGCCATCCATGACGTCTTACTGGTATAAGTATGAACACAATTACAATATAAAGGAGTAACTTCATTTAAAAATAACCTACAATATAAATGAGTAATATGAGTAACCCCTACAGGCAGAGGGTTAAACAACCCTGCACGAACACATCCACACAGACAGTCGTTGGACCACTTACCTGACCTCTGCACACAGCGACCAGCGACCCTCCTGCGATCCAGCACAAAACAGAGTGAGCGGCCAGCCGACAAATCCGACCGAGGTCGGGTCAGGTGGTGCCACTTGTAGAGATGCAACTTTTTCTCCAAAGCTATTACCGGCACCAAAACCGGCACCGTAGACGTGAAGAAATGTTCATTTCAGCAGCGCTATTACGAATTTTCGTTTCAAAAATGTTCTATCACCACCAGGCAATTCGCGAATTGCCTAGGCCATTCGCGAATTGCCGGCAATGTGCAAAATGCCTAGGCCATTCGCGAATTGCCGGCAGTTCGCGAATGGCCTAGGCAATTCGCGAATTGCCCAACTTCGCACTTTGCCCGTAACATATATATATATATATATATATATATATATATATATATATATATATATATATATATATATATATATATATATATATATATATATATATATATATATATATATATATATATATATATATATATATATATATATATATATATATATATATATATATATATGTTCTTTCAAAACAAAGACCGTTAAATGAAATAGCGTTTTCACATTTGACAAGTTTCTTGTGTGTCTTTATAAGCTTATTTACTGTTTTTTTTTAAAGATTATTAGAAAGTGAAGGCAAATAGATCCAAGGCTCATAGGGAGATGTCATTAGGTATATTTTTTACCGACGCGTTTCGAATGTAAACATGACACTCATTTTTAAGGTACAGTAAGTCCGCTCAGAGGTTTTTCATGCACCAGCATATTCTTGAAAAACAAAATATTCATTATGAACAATTCGCGAGCGATAATCACTAATTCGACTTTCACCATAGAATTCACATGATCACAAAATACAAAAAGTACATCTATATCATTGCCTTGCTGGCCGTCACGACTAAAGCTACCTAACCTATCCTTCGTCATCAGTGTATCGTGTGTCGTCTCAGAGTCGTGAGTGTGGTGCGTGTGACGAGGGTGTAGGGTCTGTTGTTTTGTCCCCTAAAGTGCGAGTTTTTCCAGCTTCTGGTTCCTTTGGTGGTTGATGGCGGGTGCATAGTCACGGATGTACAGGGTGATTTTTTTTAACTGTTAAAAAGTAAACGTCAATGGTGGTCCCTAAATCGAAAAATCTTGTGCAAAAAAGCAATGCACGTGATAGATAAATCTGGGACATTTTGTATGGTGTCATGATTTGTCCCTTTTAACCGAAGGCCTCGGCCCCAATGGAGCCTGAAAATGTCCCACCAATCGGGCACGCATGGTCCACCGCCGTTCAGTAAGGAACGACACAAAACGATGATTTTGAAGCATTGAGGCAGTTCGAAGCATACGATCATCAAGGAGATACCTCAGAAAGACGTTAAATAATACAGGAACAAGCTTGTAGTCATAAATGACCTTCAAACGGTCCATCTGGCGTATGTGCAACCTCTGAAGAATCAGTCTTCAGGGAGAAACAAAAAACAGCGAATCAGACACCACCAGAGCCGCCAGTAGCAAAATCCTCGACTTGCCTTTTCTAGACTTCTAGTTTTTGGACCCAGGTATGGCAGATATAACAAGAAAACATTGGAAATGTCTGACAGAGCTGAAAATGGGTGATAGGAGCCTTTTTAGTCCGCCTAGTGAGCATGGGAGTCCATGGTACTGTTCAACACGCGCTCAGGCGGGCTGATTCGTGTCGGTGAGAGAGGGGTTAACTTCAAGCACAAGTGAAATACACGATGGACGTTCCTTCACATCGTGTCTGCATGAAATCAAAATGTCCCAGAATGCTCGTCATGCTGGTATATAATTTTACCATATATATTTGCATTTTAACGCCCCTAAACCTTATTACTTTTTAACAAGTAAAAAAAATCACCCTGTAGATGGCTTCAATGATTTCAATTCGCTTGGGGTCGTGGTTTGAGTGTATGACGGTAGTGTTATCTATAGGGGAGAGTGGGGTAAGATGCCCAGGGTGGGAAAGACGCCCCACCCCCTCTAGCGGGGAAACAAAGAATCGAACCTGGAAATTAATGTTCTTAGCGTAAAGCGGAAGCCTGCCTTGTTAGCTGCACAAAAATTTGCGAAGCTCAGTTGGGCAACGGCTTGCTGGTGATTGCATGCTCTTTATTTGCTGCTTTCAAAAAATATTTTGGCGTCAAAACATTGTAAATATCAAAGAAGGTAGATAATTTTTGCGTCCCTTGCTATAGTCGTGATACATTAACATGCGTGTACTGTGTCCCAAACAGTTTGTTTCAGGGTGTAGTTTTATGGCTAACAAACGGTGCTGATTTAATGTTACTTCGGTACCTTGGGGTAAGATGCCCCCTGTCCTGATGGGGAAAGACGCCCCCCTAAATCCGTAGGCTGTCCTTCAAACAGCACGTCAAATCATTTATTACATACTTGTGACGAGAGACAAAAGCCGATCTGGGACTATTGAGAGTCCGGTACGGTGGGGTGCTCCCCATGCCGGTCTTTCGGCCCACACAGCGACTTTTTGGGCGGCATCTGACTCTGAGAGCCCTCACGACGGCCTCTGTGGGCCCCATTATTGGTTCCAGGGCCCCTCACGACATCCTTTGAGGGCTCCCACGTTGACTCCACGGGCCGCGCTGGCATCTGAGGTCCCCACGATGGGCTC